GAGAGAAACTCAACACTGATTTTCAGGCTCGATGGATATGTGATCTTTTCAAAAGCTCAAGTTAAAATAAAAAAAAGAACAAAAACTACCAAAGTGTTTATAGGAATTATTACTGGGTATGGGATTATAGATGACTTTTATTTTCTTTACATTTTTCCACTATTTCCTAAATGTCTATAATGAATACATACTGTTGGTAAAATCGGGGAAAAAATTAACATTAAAAAAAAGGAAGGATCCTGGACAAACCACTGTCTCTGGGCTTAAATGACAGGTGGTATTACCGGCCACAGTTCTTAGATCAGGTCCATTGCCAGTGGGCAGAAGAGTCCGCTGGGATGGAGTGAAGCCCTGAGAAGGCCAGGAGGGAGCAATGAACTACATGCACTTACAAAAGAAAATATGGGAAAGTAAGAGAGGGAAGGAAGGAAGAAGAGAAGGCAGAAAGAGGCGATGGGGCAAGAATGCACCAAAGAAGCCTGTGCCTGCGAGCTGACTGTCCAGCGACGTGCCTGGTGCTCTGTGGTCCTCTCAGCTGTAGGTGATGGCCCCCTGGGAACCAATAAGCCAGGTACAGGGCAGGAAAGGCAAAACTTCCAGGCAGGCTGTCACTTGGGTGCCCACCCTTCCCCCAAGCCTCCCACTACCCACTATCCATCCCCCGCTGCAGACCCAAGTCCAGGTCGTGGTGGTCAGAGCCACAAGGACACTCTTTAAAAAGAAAATAAGTTCTTTGCTTGTCCACATTTAAGAGTAGGGGCCGAGCCACAAATATAATCAGAACAACTGTGCGGTTTCTGCTGTCTCCAACGCCTGCTGCCCTCATATACTGAGTGTCTCAGACTCCTGAGTCTTCTAGAACAGTGAGAAACATGGCAACCACAGCGCCATCTTCTGAGCCTCAGTTTCCTCATGGGTCCCAAAGTGGTGACAGTAACACCCACCTAATGAAGGTGGACCCAGAACTTGGCTGTGTCACGCTCAGTAAAATGTCACCTTGTATTTAAGGACTTAAAAACACTTTCAGGCTCTGACGTATAACTTCGGATTCATTTCCTGGTTTAAGAGAAATCTGGAGGTGACCATCTCAGCTGGGCACACACCACTTAGCGAAGGGGCTGGTATTTCCTGTCCTCTCACGCCCCATCTCAGTGGCACAAGAGGAGAACAGCACCCAGCAGAGGAGGTCTCAACTTCGGATTCCGCTCAGGCAATAAGGCCCAAGATCAGGAAGTGCACAAAGCACGTGCCACCCACCCATCTTACCTGTCATAAGCTTCTTTGAGGTCCCTGGCCAACTTGCACTTGGGCAGGATGTGATGGAACGGGGACTGAGGACCATCATTTGCTACAAGAATTGCAACACAAAAGGATTTAGAGCCTCCAAAGCAAGGAAATGTGCATAGGTTAGAATAGAAAATACCTTTAAAAACAAGTTTAAAAAAAATTTTAAGTAACTTTAAACCAATATTCCCCACTACTTTTTATAAAATTTTTATATCCAGTTGAATTAAAATTAGACTTAGGCTGATTCGTTCAACCATCTTTACATAAATTATTTGTATTTAAACTCTACCACTGGCCCCACCTAACCCTGTAGTCACAGGCATCACAGGAACAAAACATTTCACTGGCTTCTCCTGAAGGCGCCTACCTCAGATAAACCAATATTCCCCACTACTTTTTATAAAATTTTTATATCCAGTTGAATTAAAATTAGACTTAGGCTGATTCGTTCAACCATCTTTACATAAATTATTTGTATTTAAACTCTACCACTGGCCCCACCTAACCCTGTAGTCACAGGCATCACAGGAACAAAACATTTCACTGGCTTCTCCTGAAGGCGCCTACCTCAGATCACCGGAGCCATCTTCTGTCTCGGTAACCACATTTCCATGCC